AGAAGCAACTCTTCTTTCTGCTTCCTTTTTTTTTTTTTTTTTTTGCATATAATATTTTATTAAGAATTTTGATTACAATAGTAAAAACTAATACAAACTAGTTTACATTTTTAGAATAAAAAGTGCAAGAAAAAAAATAAAAAAGAAATAAAGAAGTGACTTCCAACCTTCATTACAACAAGTATAGACAAATTTAGTAATTCTTTACAAGGTTACAGACAGATATCTCTTCATCCTATATGTCATCCCTTATCTAAGCAAATCCATAAAACATCAACTTTTCAATCCTGTTGTCAGCAAAAGTCTGTAAAGGGTTGCCAGAACTTTTCAAATTTTTACTTCTAACAGTCTTAATCTTTAATTCATTCAAATATTGTTGTAGGATTTGATTTCCATTTTTCTTTATCACATTGTACAGACTTCAAGAGTTTTACAAGCCTCTTTTGTATATACAGTAAAACATTTTCCAGGTCATTCTCTTGATTTGTCATTTGTATTTCCCCTTTAATTTTTAAAATTTCAACCAGTTTATCCAGTAAAGCGTCCTTTTCCAAATCATTCTCTTGGACTGTCATTTGTAGTTCTACTTACGGTACTTTATCTTGTCACAAAATTTGCTCCATATCTCTCATTCCCTCACTGACTTCTTTTGGATTCAATCCATAGAATGAGGCATCATTACTGACACTTGTAGCTACTAATTTCTGTCTCCATTCTTCAAAGATCTCCTTTGATATTTCCAATGTTATGACATTTTGTATCATTTTGTAAGTCCCAGTTAAGTGACACTAAAAGCAGGCTTGTATTTTTTTCCCTTCAATTTAGAATCTTTAGTCCCCTCTAATGCCCATTTTCTAAAATCATAAACTTGCTTATCTTTGTTATGAATCAAGATAGACAAAATAACTGTGGTTCCCACCGGAAGCTTTTTTTAAAATAGTTAATTCCAAAATCTTATAGTAAAAGTCAATATTCCAAATTTAACAGGATCCTTAATCCATTTGTAACTTTCTTAGATCAAAATCTTATTTACGTTTTTGCTGTTTATTTCAAATTCTTTAAGTTCTTAAGCTTGTAATTAATTTTTCTTTTGTTCAGAGTTGAAGTTAAACTCATCCGGTGACTTTTCAAACTTGTCATTCCGAAGGTCTCTAATAGCTTTAAGATGGTTAATAGGCAATTTCTGAAAGTGATTAGAAAGTGAGGCATTTGTAACTTTCTTAGATCAAAATCTTATTTACGTTTTTGCTGTTTATTTCAAATTCTTTAAGTTCTTAAGCTTGTAATTAATTTTTCTTTTGTTCAGAGTTGAAGTTAAACTCATCCGGTGACTTTTCAAACTTGTCATTCCGAAGGTCTCTAATAGCTTTAAGATGGTTAATAGGCAATTTCTGAAAGTGATTAGAAAGTGAGGCTTGCAACTTAGAGTTCTTTAAAAGGCTCTGCCATGGTTGCAAGCAAGATGGCTAATTTTATTTCAAATTCTTTAAGTTCTTAAGCTTGTAATTAATTTTTCTTTTGTTCAGAGTTGAAGTTAAACTCATCCGGTGACTTTTCAAACTTGTCATTCCGAAGGTCTCTAATAGCTTTAAGATGGTTAATAGGCAATTTCTGAAAGTGATTAGAAAGTGAGGCTTGCAACTTAGAGTTCTTTAAAAGGCTCTGCCATGGTTGCAAGCAAGATGGCTAATCCCTTCAACTTCCGGTGCTCAAACCCACAGAAGACCACTGCCTCCTTGCTAGGAGCAGCCATCTGGAGCACACGTGGGTGATCTCCTGTCCTCTCCTTATCTAGAGAGGTTCTGAAGAACTAGCCCACTCACCAGTTCTTTGGTCTTTGCCACGGTGGTCTGCTCTGCTTTCGCGGAGACGTCTTCAGTTCTCCATACTGCCGCTGGAAATACCTAACCCCTCTTTTTGCTCCCAACTCATGATGCATTGCATCTAAAGAGAGTCTAGTTATTTTAGCATCTGAGATAGAAAATAACTAGAATCCTCCCCTGCATCAACAGTTCAATAATAATTCAATGACCTCTTAGGGGACCCAGCCTGACATTGTTTTCTCATTCTGCTAAGCAGTAAAATTGGTGTTGCTTTCAATTTTGAACCTGGATTAGGATTGATTTTAATGGCTTTATAAACATATATATCCTCATTTACTGTGATTCTCTTGAAAATAAAAATTTAACAAGATAAAGAATTTTTAATACAAGTAACTAGAAATTGCAGAAGAGGGTTAGAGAACATATCTGGATAAGATTTTTAACTTATCTGGCTTATGATTATTTTCTCCCAGTTAATAACATTATATACACTTGGAAATAATATGTGTTTGAGGGGTTATCAAGATATTTTGAATATAAAATACTGATGTGGGGAGCAGAGGGGTTACATTTTTTGTTTTTCCCCATCTTGTTGCACTTTCATACTCCTAATTGTGGACCACAGAGTTAACATTTAAAAGTACTCCAAGCCAACTGAAAGAGTAGTAATACTCAGATACCAGTCTGTTGCACTTGCCCTATGTGCAGAGATATTGGTAGAATTTGGATTTTCATGTGGCCCCTAATCAATGCTGGGACTTGTTTGTTGAATTTTTGGGAGGAGGGATGTAACAAGGATGGTTAACTACACAGGAATGGAGATTTAAAAGACCAAATCTGAAAGGAGGAACTGAAAAATGGAATCCATCGAAAACTTTTACCAAAGAATATTGTGGAATGTTGAGGCAAAAGATGGGTGTGAAAAGAAGAGGAAAGCAAAATATATTGGGACAGAAATATCCGCGAAATGAAACCTACAGAATAGAAAAGAGCTGAAATGAAAATATGTTGTATGTGGACTCTTATGAACTGAAGGAAGTATAATTCAGGGCTGTACTGTACAAACCTAAACGTGTTTGCTCGTAAGTAAATCCTATTATGCTTAATGCGGTTAACTTTCGGGTAATTGTAGATGGGGTTGCAATTTTAGTCCCGTCGTAAATGAATTTGAAGCTGCATCGCGCCTCATCCCCCCGGAAATCGTTCCGATTTCCAGAACTAGAGAGTCAGTGGCGGCTTTTAGAATTACGGAACAACGATCTCATATTTAGCGTCGATTCTCAGAACTGCAAAAATCTCCAGAATCCTGTTTTATTTTAAATCGCAACGAGGCACATTCGCGATGTTTAAGTACTGCTTAGGATGAAACCCCCGAGAAGCTGAGGCATCGCCGTTCTAACGTGCTACAGGCTGTGTTCTGATGTTTGACTCCACTTCTGACAGATGGTTGTCTTCCGTTCAGACGTCTGACACCGAACATCTGCGTTGAGGTTGCAAGCTACGCTAGGGACTCAGCAAAACACCCCGGAAGAAGGCAGTGGCCAGCCAGTTCTGCAGCACTGCCGAGAAAACAGTAGGGCTCTGATCTCCAGAAGGCGAGGTCTTGTGAAAGCATCTCAACTTATTAGTTTATCTGCTTTCTGCTGGAGACCGTTCTTGTAAGGGATGGGCTGAAAACTCTGGGCAATACGTTGTTTGGCCGTAGCTTTTGCAACAGCAGCAACCAAAACACACACACACACAACCCAACCCGCAACTCAGGGGGCTGTACTGATTGGCCCGTGTCACGTGCATTGCTCTTCTGCTGTTCTTGTACTCCCGGGCTAGTTCGATAGTAGAAGGCTCCCTTGACAGCTGCGTGGTTTTTCTTGCTCTGCAGTCCGTTCTAATTTTTCCTGCATCGTAGAGTAAGTAACCGCATTACATGAAGATTTCCGAGTCTTTGCATTAATAGGGAGCCTTCTGACTCATAATATTGTATTATGGCATACGACAAAGGCCAGCGACTTTCTGGCTGTATATATTGCTGTACTGTATCCTTGGTAAATATAATTGATAGATGACGAAAGTGCAGCTATAAATCAGATATTATTGAGAGCAAATGATCTTTTCCCATAAAACTTCACAGGATCTGCAGAATAATATCTAAATTAGGTTTTACTAAGAGTAGTAAGAATAAGGCTCCTGATTATGTTCTCTTGATTTATGCAGTGCTTTCCCTCAAACTGGCTATGCCACAGAGTAGCCGATCACTTACCATAGGGATTGTCTGAGAAATTCACCAACTGCATGTTTCATAGAGTGATGATATCTGGAATCAAACAATGTGTTTTGTTCCATTTATATTCAGCTTCCCTCCCTGAAGTGCAGAATTTAGTTCAAGGTAACCTAATAAGGCAATTCGGGCTGAGAGTCTTGTTTTCTTTGTTTCCTTATCATCTGTAACTCACTCAGCCCAAAAGTTAGGAAAAATAATTGTCTAAGCCAGTGTTGTCCAAACTTGGCCACTTTAAGATGAGTGGACTTCAACTCCCAGAATTCCCC